ATTATATATATATTATATATTTATATATATACAATATACCTAGCAAATGTAATTGATAATAATTTTGTTATCAAAATATCTGCGGCAGTAAAATGCGCGGTAAAATGAATAAGTTTTGAATCGGCCAATGAAAATGGGTTATTCTGTATGCAGTGCCGAGATCATGTACACTTTGTTAATATGCTATCTGGAATGACCCACATCGCCAGCTCATACACACAGCCATATAGCACTCTCTCATCTATTTTAAGAATTCTATAACTGTAGAACAAAAAACTAATTTTGACAAATATTGAAACATACATCATACTTATAATCTAAAATAAAAATTCAAATTTGTAAATATTTTATACAACAAAATGATTATTTATTTGTCCCGTGTTCTAATTTCTAAGAGAGGAGCAGTTGTCTCATTGTCTCCAATAACGCTCCGCCTCTGCAGTTTAGACAGCAGAGCAATGCAGCTGAATTTCAGTATCAAAGAGATACACATTTGCATCGCTGGCTAAAAAGTTTGAACCTCTATATTAGGGGCATTAGTAAGATTTATTACATTTGTAAAGTTGTGATAATATAATGTATAGCATAAACTATTAAAAATGAACACTCATTTTAATTATTTAAAAAGGTATGATATTTGACAGTATAACTTTTTCTTTCAACCTCAAGAAAGTAATAGTAATCAGTAGTTACAAGTATCAAGCAACAAATTTATTTCAATTCAATTTTCTAAAGGATTTTTCCAATAAAGTTGTAATAAACTGTCTAAACAAGTAGTATCACTCTGAAGTTTGGCTATTTTAAGACATACATTCAAAATTTGTTGTGTACAAGGAGTAGGAATTTTGATTTGTGTTTATGAAATACATTTAAAGTTTAAACACAACACAGGAATAATATTTTTTTTAAATATATATTTATTATAAAATAGAATTATTAAACTTCATCTATGTAAACAAAGTTTATAGATACTATAATGTACATAAATAAAAATAGCATTAAAACGTCTATTCTCTCTATATAAAATAAAGAAGAAAATATATATCGTACAGAAAAATGTTATATTGTTATTTTGGTATTTGACAGTATAGTGACAGCCGACAGGGCGAGTAAATGCTTGTTTACTTTATTTATAATATTATAACATAATAAAAGTAAATTGAAGTAACACAGAGAACAAATAAGAAGGGTATACACACAACTGCACACATGAAAACTACAGTTTCCAGTTAATGAGTTTTTTCTTATTAATTATTGATAATAGTAGTAGTCTGTACTATAAGTTTATTAACAATTTATTAGATAAAATAATAATATTTTTTTTCATTTTGCGTGCATACAATAATAAATTACAGAAACATCAAACCATCATTATACATGTACGTCTTCTTTCTAATGTCTATTTTACTAGTGTTTTTCCACAAATTCGTACAACGTGACTGGTATATGTCCAATGAATGGTATACGGTTTTTGCGTATGGCGCGGGCAGCGTGGCATGCCAAAGATGTGTGGCACAGCGGGTTATGCGGAGTGGCTTTGCGCATGTCACAGAACGTGCGACCAGCTGCATTGACAGAATCGTAATGCGCTCCACCCCCCAACAGTAGTTTGATGGTAGTCATATCTTTAGAGGAGACTAAATGGAGAGGTGTATTACCCTCTTCATCACGCGCATTGGGGTCAGCGCCAATTTTGAGCAACGCTCTCAGCAACATAGACGCATCTTCAGGGCTGACGGATTGGGGATGCCGGGATGTTGCCAGAGCAGTTTTACGAGCACTTGCCAAATGAAGAGCAGTCTGACCGAGGTGTCCAAGAACTTTACACTTGTTCAAACGGTACAGCAAGCGGTGAGTCAGGTGAGAGTGATCATCGTTCCTGATCAATCTAAATACCAAACGTAAGAGAGAATAAAAATATATTTTATCGAGTACTACTGCATAAGCATACTAAATTTACTAAAAAAAACATAAACGTACTTGAGAGCCATATTAAAGAGATCCAAGGAAATGAGCAATAATCTAGGAGATAAATCGAACGACGATGGCAGCACTTTGGGTTCACATAATTCATTGACAGCTTTAACCAGGACTTGAATGATGTCCTCGAAAGTCAAGAGTGCTGGAACTTGTCTATAGCCGTTGTTGTCGTTGGTAGCGCATGCGTCAGACATGAAAGAGAAGAGTTCGGCAAAGGAGAAGAATGAAGAGACAGTCATCTGGTGGCAAGACTCAAGAGAACCTCTTTGGATGTCTAAGGCATGATTCCACAGAGATATACATCGGGTAAATTTGCCAGCGTCAGCATACACAGCGCCTCGATATCGCACATAGTAACTTGTGTCCGGATGCGTAGGACCTAGAATCCGTTCTCTCACTAACAAAGCCTGGAAAAGGGAAAACATTAAAAAATAATGAAATTTTAACAGAGAGAAAAATGTTCAGAGCCCCAAACCAACGTGGGTGGGTGCTGGTCGGTGAGATGGGCGGAAATGACTTACCTGCATCCTCATCTCGTCAGGTTCGGACAACAGTTCATTGAGTTCCTCGTGATTTTTCACTTCTTGGGCCCATTCGTAAGCTTCGATCGGCAGTGCGTTGTCCGGTTTCGGTATGTCCAGTTCGTCGTCGTCCTCGCTGAACCTCAGATCCATGGCCTGTTTCCACAGGTCGAAACCGCCGATCAAGTCTCTCCTCTTATCAATGTATGTGGCACCAAGCAGTTCCAGGGCTTCGATCTTCTCTTTGCGCGACACCAAGTTGTTACTCTTAACCAGGTAATCGACGATGTCCGCGTGACCGGTAACGCACGCGGCCAACAGCGGTGTCATCCCTATAAATATAAACAGAAAACACGAACGAGAATTATTATTTATCACCTACTCAAGGACGATGTGGTCGGTTCTTTTTTTGGCACTCGTTCGCCCAATTGCGCAGTACTATTTTTACTGCTAAAATAATATTACATGTGGTACCTAATAACATATAATACAAACGAGCGGCACTAACCATAAGAATCTACTTCCATTTTGGCCCCGTTGAGTATGAGCATTTTGAATATGTCCAGGCTACCCGATTCGGCACAATCGTGCAACGCAGTGTTGCCTTTGACGCTCTTTTTGTTGATATCGGCTTTTAGGGCCAGCAGGAAGTTGGCGATTTTGTAGTGGCCTTTGTAGCAAGCGATCATCAGGCACGTGTGACCATGACGGTTGGATACTTCGATGTCTGTGGAAATGGAAAAACAAGATCTTAAGTCGAAAGCGGTGAAAATACCATAGTCAGGGAAAAATTAAGCCATCGACTATAATTTGCGTGAAACACGCGTAAATTGAACTACGCACGACATCTTACGACTCATAAAAAGTGATTACGACGCCACTTAGCCGCTATAAAAATTACATCAAAATAATTTGTCCAGGTAACACACACAATACGCTTTTCTCCCAAACTATTATCTGCTATTGAATCGGCGCAGCCGAAGAAATGGTAATTAGACGACTGAGAAAAACAACTGTTTGTCGTTCCCGCAGTTAATAAATTTCACCTTTACGGCGACGGTTAAACAGGCGTGTGCATGGTGAACGTCGCATGTACGCGGAAAATTCCATAATTATATTTCACACAATTTATTACATTTGTCCGCGTCGCAAGTATTATAATATAATATTGATAATGTGTGCATTAGTGCTGTTGAAAATTTCAAATTTGTTTTTAATTTTTAGTAACGCGATTAGGTTAGGCGTTAATCTAAAACTCACACCCAAGTACGATCAAAGCGGAAATTCAATAGAATAAAAATCGAAGTGGTATAAATTCGCAATAAGTGGATGTCGCCATGTATGCGCGTTAATTTTTCTCTCTGGCCCACGCGCAACATACAAAATTGTACGTGCACAGTAATGATTGTAATCATAATAATTTCTAAAATTAGAGTGAAATGACCTCTTATAAAATTTAAATCTAAGATTATTGTCCTGGGCATCTTAGTCATTTTATTATATGTTAATTTTAAAAGGAGTTATGAGTATTAAAAAATTGTAAATTGTTTGTACATCATGCGCTGACATCCTCTTAATAGTTAATGATTATAAAGATGGACCACATTTCGACTCTCCCGTTTCTAAGAGTATACACACAAATACACAATGCGCAAAGTAATAGGCACAAAGCACTAGTCACTAGTGTATAATAACGCAATTGTATTCGGTTAATTACCACCAGAAAAATAGGACATAAAAATAAAACACTTAAGTTGAAGGTAGGTTCGAAAAGGACTGTTTTCATGATACAAAAATATCTATATTTATTCCTACGTACTTAATACTGACAAATCTTTACACGATAAGAATTTTTAAATTAAGTTTGGATTATTCTTTTTATCTTACTAACAAATTTTAATATCTAAAGCTTGAAAATATAATACAAGATTCTTTATGAGTTATTGTAATGTTACCAGAATTAAAAAAAAAGTTAAAAAGTAAATCCATGCTCGTCAAAATATATTATCGGTGAGAATTATACGCATAGAGATGGCAATTGTCCGCTAACTATTTCAAAAACCAACAGGTGGTATTAATTGACCTAGTCACCTAGAGTATTCCGACTTAGTAGACGGGCTAGAGAAATTCAAGTACAAATTACGCTCCTCCGTCCGTGAACTTTTTTTTAATGTCGTTGTACAAGTCATGCTAATCATGCAAATCGTGAATATTTGAAATGAACCTTCAAAGGTCCGTACACACTGCATCTGCGGCGGTAAATTGTGACCGAACACAATTCACTGCTATACCATTGCAAAGTGTGAGGTTCTTACTATACTATACTGTACTTAACGTTCACAAACATAAATAAATTTTTTTTTTACTTGTGCCAATATGTATAACTATTATACAATAATAATTAATAACACATCGTGAGTCGTGACACGTGAATGCGTCTATGTGCACGCGATCTCGTGACAATAGATCTGAAATCTAGAACCCCCGCTCCGGGACATTTTTTGGGGAGGTCGACAGGGTGGTAAAAATAATGTACACGAAAGAATGTCAAACACACCTGCACCGTGTTCGACTAGATATTTCACGATCTCGTAGTGTCCGTCGAAGCATGCTGCGCGCAACGGCGTCGAATTCGTTTTGGTCGTAGAATTCACCACGGCGTCTTCTCTGATCAACAGTTTGACTATGTTCAGATGTCCAGCAGCGGCCGCACACCATAGCGGTGGCGCTCCCTCTATTGTTTCACCGTCAAACATAACTGCGAACAAAAATTAAGGATTAAACAAAAATGTCCGTCAATAACACCGTTATAACCTGTAATCACTTATAATAGAATAAAATGTGTTGCCTAAACACTTGATTTTTTTGAATGTCGCCGATTCATTTTTGGACATTTTTACAAAATTTTTATCGAATCCTGGCGTAATAATAAAATAAAATAAAACCATCTTTATTAGGGTGCATTTTCATATTACATCGGTATTTCTTTTTTTTTTTCTGAACATAGTATGATTATGATTAAATCGTAATTGTTAATTTCCGGCGATTACGCTCACGGTATTTTTATAATTGCGTTTGTCGTGAAATAAAATTACCATACACTCCCTTCTTCCCAAAATCCACAAAAATGTTTAAAACAACACATTTATATGTGATAAAACATATAGTATTATACATGAGGTATAAAATGTATACCTGAATACAATCGGTAAGCTCTACAAGCCAAATATCTACTCAAGGAATGTTTTGTAGCATTTTAATTATCAAATCCCATTCAAAGATTTACATTTTTGTTTTATTTATACTTTCATTAGCAATTTAGTTTTAAACTATGAAGTTAAAGTCCATTCTAAATCTATTATTGTTATCAAACATTCAAAATAGGCATTGTCAAATCTCCCTCTCCGGCACACACACAACAGAGAGTATTAAAAAACCGATCGTTCCGAATGAAAAAAAAAATGGTAGAACTATATTTATAACTTTAAGAGACATATTATAGGATCGCTAAATTTCAAACAAGCTACGAATTCAATGGTGTCCCGCACTAGGTAAATGTTTGGCACCAAACGCAGAATGATGAAAAATTTAGAACAATTATATGATCACCGGTTAATATTAAAAAATATTATGAGTAATAACGGCGATCAAAGATATAATTAAATCTTTGACCGCGGTAATAACACACAAGGGCGTTACACGCGGAACAGTGCATGTGGTGGTCGGTTCAACATTTTCGTCACTTCGGACAGTAAAATCGTATAAAATGAAAAAAAAAATTCCAAACAAAATCGTTTCGACACAAAACCGGGTCTGCGGTCTCGGCGGTACTCAAATGTTACAATACTATATTACGACAGTAAACCGAAATGAATAATTAAATAACGAACAGACCGGTCGACACTCGCACTATTATAATAATACTATTCTGTGCTACGACGACTACGGCAGCAGCTGACGCGCACTAAAACATAATATAAATAAATACCACAGGCGCGAGAACCGTTGCATGTCGAAACACGAGGCTAACCGAACGGACGTGCACAGACATGTCTGCAGTCTGAACTCTGTAGACCTCGGCCGCCCGCGCCGCAGACCTGCGCTTACATGCACACGTTGCATATTTGCATACGACATACCACCGAAAGAATCTCCGGTGAAAAAGATTACTTGTCATCGATCATTTTTTCGTATTCGGTTTTTTTTTAACTGGTTGTTTTCGTGTCGGTTCAAACTCTAATAAATGAAACGCGTTAACTGCCAGTTAATAATTATTGATACATAACTGGCGCAATATTATTAAATCGTATTGTATTTGTTTTTTATTTAATTTATTTATGACTGACAATCAAACATGTTTATTCTTTGACGAGGGAAGAAGATGTTACCATAATGTTTATGCGTACAAATCGTAACTAAATGCACAACGACTGTTTCCTCATAAATCCATTGGTCACGACTCGCGAGCCGCAACTGATAAAAGTAATATATTATGGGTAGGCAGTAGGTACTTCACTACTTCAGTACAGATTTAATATAATTCATACTTATAGGAACTACACTTCAACGACACAAGAAAAACTATAGGTCAAGAAATGTAAATCTCTTTTTAATAGTAAAAAACCATTGAACAAGTACCTATAAGAATAAACAAAAAATTATTTTAAAAATGTATGATTCTTCAAACCGATACTAAAATTAAATTAAATAGTAGACATATAAAATTAACAATTGTTTTAATAGTCTATGACTGTGTGAGATAGGATAACCTTGTTATGAGTTTATGACAGATAAATTATATTATCACAAAAAACCAATTTATGACCTTTTTTGATAATGAGAAAAATGTATGAAGTGAATGTTTTGTACAATTATATGCCTTTAAACTTTAAAGATACATGTTTCATGGAAAAATAAAGTGCCGAAATATTGATGCTGGCAATAAAATATTTGTAAGTAAAACTACCAATAAATATTTTTTGTTGTTTATTACTTTTTACTTTTTTTACTTTAATATATCAAAATAATAACTATGTAACAATCAATTTCTGTACAGTAAAAACAGTATCTAAATAGCTTTAAATAATAATATAAACAATAATTATTCAAAACAATTATGGCAGCAAGTTAAGTTAACTACATTTATGTAATTATAAGCAAACAGTAGATATTATTTTAATCATAAATTATAATATTGATTGTTAGTATTACATCATTTAACATTGAATAAAAATTAAAAAGATTAAAAAATAAGTTTTAGCAAATTGGTTTTGTTAAACTTAAATTTTCTATACATGGGTTAAAGTGGAAAACTAATAGATGACATCCTCCTAATAGTTTGAGAAATAATGAATGTCTTAATATGTTAAATTGATCATCTAGAAAAGATTAACAGTGTGTGAAGATATAACTATTGAAATAGGTCTGATAACTTTATAAGTATAGTTTATTTTTATTTTTTATTTCAACTTTGTTATTACAATTAGTTTCAACAGTAAGTAAATAAGTAAAGTTATTAGTTTATTCTTTAAACACAGACCTTATTAAGATATATTTATTAAAGTATTAAATAATTTGTTCTTTCAATGTTAGATTAATGTTCATTTATTTATTTATTACTGTTATCAGTCAAGACAGCTGCTGTACACATTTTTTTTAAAATAAAATTACAAATGAAGCTATAGTTTAGAAATATAATGATTAATTAATAAGCCCACACTTAATAATTTATTGGTGTATCACAAAGACTTTATAATTATAACAAATAAAATGCAAATATGTTTATTACGTGTTAGGACCTTAAAATACAGACTGCATAAATACACAACATCTAACAAAGCAACAGACATCAAAATCTGTGTCCATGAATTACTTTGAAATTTATATTTTGTTGACACATCTAATCTCTGTACAAAAAGAAAAAATATTGTTTTTAAATATATATTCTAGGTAATTTATAGGTTCTATAAAAATTCATAAATTTATCATGAAGCCGATTATACTCGTGTATTTTTTTTATTTAAAGATTATATGCAAATACTTAAGATAAAATAGAATCAAATGAATCATTACATTTATTTATATTATTAGTAATTTAAAAGTAAATACTTTTGTAGACTTGATAAATTTAATAATTATAAACGAAAAAATTGGAATTTTATAGTGCAATCAAAAGATGTACCTAATACTTCAAAAGATTATGCATCAAGCAATGATTAATTTATTACCTGAGCCTGTTTGTTCGATATCGACTTTGTGTCTTTTGATTAAGTACAAGGCTATATCGTAGTGGCCGTGTCTGCAGGCCATCAGCAATGGCGTAGCGCCAAGTGTTGTGGTTTTCAACAGTTTGGCATTTTCCATCGCTGATTTGCCTTCCAACAGCAACTGAAAACAAACATATTAAGGTCATTTATGGTGAAACTGAATTTTATCATATTCCATAAACAATTAATGGAGACAATCAAGACTTTTAAACCCTAAAATTGGCAAGCATTTGTCACCACCAGGAAGTAGAGTTCAGTCACGTTTTTAAGTTCTATAAGTGTACTATAGCTTATAAGGTAGGGTCAAGGGAACGGGCTACCTGCAACTAGACTTCATCGATAAATAAATACTTCCATACATGGTACATTTGTGGTCATTTCATACAGTTCAAGGCTGATCCAAATAAATTACTGAGATGAATTTGATAAAAAAAAATCTTATTTATTTGAAAAAGAAAAAACACGTTTATGAGGATAATTGAACATGTTTGATGATTCCGACGAGACAAAGGAAGAGAAGTAAGAAAGAAAGGAGACAAAGCAGCACATTTATTTTTTCAAAGTAAAATGTAGTGGGATATTGTCATATTGATAACTTACATGTGCACTCAATTCAGACATTGAACTCAGTTATCCTACTTATATTGTAGATAATATTGATGACAGTCTTAGGAAGATAAATTATAATAAATAAGAAGATAATTTTTATTTCCATACCTTATATGAAACACTCACATAATATACTTATGACATAACATATGTAGATTAGTAGATAGTTGAACACTATTGTTCAATATAAGCTAGAAATTGTGAATATAAAACCTGTTTAATGTTCTAGAATAATGAGATATATACTTATAATAGTACCTAAAACACATAGTTACCTACTAAAACAAAATTAGATATATTTGAAATATTCATTTTAATTAAACTAGATAATACCCATGTGTAATTTAGTTTTAAAATAAGTATTATTGTTATTATTTTTTTTTGATGATAAAAATATAAAATTTACTTTAGAATCACATTTTAGAGTTTATTTAAAATTATAAGAAATTGGATATTTTAAATCAGCTTATATTTTGTTAATAAATTAGATTTATAAATATGTAGGATTATACATAAAGTACCTTATTTTAACACATTTTACAAGGATATTATTTTACCTTGAAATAATTAATACCCATTTAAAATTTACCATTAAAATCTCGATTAAAATATTAAAAATACAAGAATATTTTTTTAGCATTATTTTAACTAGAATGTTTTCAAATTAATAATTTATCACTAATTAAAAATAAATGTAGCAAATTGGTCATAAATGTTTGACGACTTGAGAACATTTGAAAAAAATATAATCAAATTAAAATATTAATTACATAATTATGAACAATTTAGATTGATTTAGATTTTTAGATTTTTGTGAATGGTTTGTTTATTGATTATATTTTGTACATTTATTAGAATGACTACAACACACTTAACTGCTAGATATTTTAGATTGGGTGATAAATTGATAAGCTAACTTGATTTAATTTGGATCAAAGTCATATGTGTTGACTTGAAAATACTGTAAAAGATACTTAATATAAAATATCATAATTAAGTAATATAATGAAATTCTACTTATAATAGACAAGTAAAGTTTAATAATAATAAAAAAAAGATATCAATAATATTAATTTTGTTAGTTTTCATTGTTTTATTTCAACAAAAAATATACTACATAGATCAATGATATAAATGAATACATGATCACACTCTATAGAGTGTAGACTGTTGAAGCAGTACAAAAAATGTTGACCTTGGTATTGAACTGTCCACATATGTTGACTGTGAAGTGTGTTTTATTCCTACAAAGTTGTGAATCACATCTAATGTCATTCTACCTTTCACTTCCTAGTCACTGCCATAGAAAGCTTTAATATTATTAACATGCATACTGTGAACTTAATTTTATTTTATAGAATTATAGTTATTATAATTAATTATTGTTGATAACTGTAATTTTAATGGAATTATACAAAGGATTTGTATAAAAATAATTATAATGTTGTTATAATCCATATTTTGTAATCCATTATGGCCTTTCTTATCTACTTGGTTTATTTTAACATGTAAGTTAAATGATAGCTATAATACATAATAGCATTGATTGTAAATACTAATATTGTTTATAATCAGTGATAATAGTTATGGGTACAGTACTGTACACTTATGTGCGCCCAAACAGCACAATTTATTTAAGGAGTTCAATTTAATAAAAAAACCATTTAATTGTTAGGTAAATACAAATACAGCAAAACTTCCACAGCAGGATTTGTATGAATCGGTAAAATAACTAACCGCTACTAATCTCCTCAATGAAGTATTTTTGAGAAGTACCACAAAATGTATGCAATTATATTTAAGAGGAGACAGTACCCGCATCTCCAGGAACGACCTAACTGACTAACGCATAGTTTATCAAAATGTAAGTCCAGCAGTTTCAATTTTGTGTTGTTAGATTAAATATTAAAGTGAATTGAAGTATTGTCAAACTTAAATATAAGAATATTATCTGTATTCTCTCATTGGATTTTCACAATATTTTAATTCTTAAGTGAATTATAAGTATGTAAAATACAACATA